GCCTAAGGAACCCTTCCCAGCCACCTGGGGCCTCTTGCTGCTTCTCCCTCCTTTCACAATTTCCTCCATCACCCCAGATATATGAGAGGGCCTAGCTGTTATTCACAGTCACAATTCCAATGAGATATGCTCATTGAGATTACCTACACAGTACCTAAGTTTTCAGTTGGTGATCAAATGTTAGTTCTGTCATATTCCATTCAACCTATATATTCTGTCCCTAAGAGGGTTAAAACTTGAGGGCAGAAAATCAATTATATTTTATGTAATTCTCTCCTCACTGCCACCTTTAGAAAATGTACCTTCTTATCACTAGAAAATGGTAACCAGAGATATTAGAAACCAAAGTAACCTTCTGTTGGCTTTTAAAGGTTAAGTAAGTTTGAGAGAAACTTACTGGCATTTTCATAACAGTTATCGTTCCAGTGAGTTTCTCTTATTATGGCAACCTTGGCTTAAAAAATAACTAGAAGTTGTCTTATAGTCATCACTTAGATGACAAACTGTCCTTCACCCTGAAACAGGCTGAAGTGCGGTTAACATGCTTGAACAGGAAGGGTTCTCTGACTTTCAGGAAGATGAAAAGCAAACAGACAGAAAGAACAGTTGGCTAAACTCTTGCTTCTTGATGAAGGGGAAGAGGTGTGCATTTTCACTGTTTAGATTTTGACTTTTAAAACATTGACTTGATCATACTTTTAGTGTATGAACACTGGTCCTTCGAAATGGAGCCTCCCCTGGCTAATGTTCACAGGAAGCAGACACTTTGAGAGCAGAGACAAGAAAAGGTGAGCAAGCAGCAGTTCTGAAAGGAAAAACACCAGAAAAATGATACTTTAAAAACGATTCCATAACATGACAGAAAGGAAAGGGTCTCTAAAACACGAACTTAGTGAGCACCAAAACAGTGAAGTTTTCTGGAATCTGCACAAAGAGTGGAGGGTGATTTGAATACTTATTTTAACAAGCTTGCTTTTAACTAAGATCTAAGTTCTTAGTCTTTGAATGCAAGGGGGGCGGGGAGTAGGAGATATAAAGTTTCCCAAAGAATCTGAGAACAAAGGTAAAGAGATGGAATGTGACTGCTTTACAAACATGGCATGCCGGAAGTGCCCTCAGCGGAGACATAATGCAAGTCACTTCTGCTTCTTACATGCCATTTACTTGAAGCATGTTTTATCTTAAACATATCCTTCTGTGTGCTGTTTTCATTATCCTCATTAGGAGATTATGAGAACACTTACTTAGTTTAAAATTCTTGCCTTTCATTCCCTCAAGACTCATCAAATGCCGGATTAATGTGGAAGGGTAAATAATATTGTACAAGAATTTTTTCTTTACTGATTCACGGGGAACATTACTTTTAAAAAATGTTCTTAGGAGAGAAAAGGTCTTTTCATAGTGCTAACGCTTCATATTTTAGAGGAAAATGTGCATTTGATTAAAATTCCATATGACAATCATAGTATATTATTTAAATACCAAGTGATTATTAAAATCACATTTAATTGTGGTCTAAAAAATATAACAGATATGTACCCATGAAACAGCTGTTAAACATCACCAAAATTTTCTTGATCAGCTTTTTTTTTTTTTCTTAAACATTTCCCAGTTAGAATCAGCCTGGTTTTAAGGACTATTTCTGACACACAAGCACATATATCCTCTTAATGTTATGACAAGAAATTTTGTTGAATCAAATGACAATTTGATATAGGTTATTGATGATTCAAAAGTAATGGCAAAATAAACCTAGATTTTTTCATTCACTAGGATGTGCATATTGAACCAAATACTGTGGGCAGAATGTCAAGTGCAAACAGGAGATAACTCTGGACCTCCAAAGAATGTTAACACAGCTCCTTCAGCTGCACAGTTCAGTATGTTCCAAAGGGATTTGTGATGCCAAATCTGCTACTACATAACTATGGTGGTGTTTTGTCAAATGCATACATCACTTGGGAAGCATTCCTTGTCCAATCCTTATTTTCAAAGTAGCCAACTATATTAAACATTCTATAAGGAATTATTTCTTTTGGTGCAACAAAATGTATCTACACAATTCATTCAGGCTATCTGGTTCAGCGATTGTAATGAGGCATTAGTTACCACTAGGTATGTAGGCAAAATTGTAAAGAGGATAAAATTGAGTTACTTATTCTTTCTTCCTTTTATTTTTTTGATGCATTTCATTCACTCTGTACCTTTTCTATATGCCAGTTATCTTTCCTCCAAATTCTGGAAGTCTTCAAAGGCAAACCAATCCCAGCTACAGTAGTATGGCATTACATCATACTACAGTATTACACCATACTGTTCTTCCCCAAAAGTCTGCTAGTCTCCTTGCTCTTCTGAATATCCTCCCAACCAAATCTCCATTCATAAACATCTAGGCAAATGGGAAACTGTTTAGAATAATTCAGGCTAATAGACAAACTTGCAGGGAGTTGTCTGCAGTTACAAAGGGAGCCACACAAATGGATCTTTCCTTCCCCTGCGCTCTCTCCCTCTCCTTCCTCCTTGCCTTTCTCTGCCTCTGATTTTCTCTTGTTTTAGAAAAACAACCCAGGACTTCTGGGTAAGAATGTGATGTCAGCACAAGTGTCCAATTCCTCTCCTTCCAGATCCCCATTAAAATGACCGATAGATACAAAAATAAGAAAAAAACTGCGCCAGTGCTGACGCTTGGGAAGGCTGAAATGTGCACACCAAATCTCCAGGAGTTTCTGTTAGATGAGAATGAATTGAAAGAAAAGACAAACTCATGACTCACTCCAAATGGAAAGAGGAGCAGTGTGCAGACAGAGTGAGTGGCAGAGACTCAGGCAGGAGCCTGCTAATAGCCCTTAGGTTAAAGGAGCAAGGGCTGGACATGAGGTTAGACCATTGTGAGGTCAGGGGAACATCTGGATTCCTTCAATGTGTTTGAAAAGTGAGAGGTGCTCCTGGGTAGCAGGGCCTGGGGTGAGGGATGGGGGTGGCGTTCACCTACAGCTCAGCCTTGAAAAGGGGCAAGGACAGGAACCAGGACAAGGGATGTGGATTTGTACTTAATACCTCAAATGCATCTCAGCGTATTTCCTAAGGTTGCTTTCTTCGAAGGAGAATTCCCAGGCAAGGCTGTGGACATTTTTATGATTACTGATTAGAAAATTTCTCCGTAAAAAAATTGTATCAGTTTACTCCTCCACAAAGCAGCATAGTGCTGTACCCTTTCCAACAACCCTTCGCAATACTGAACATTAAAAATAGGTTAAAAATGACAACTCAGTAGTTGTTTAATTTGTATGTGAATATTAATAGAATTGAAATATTTTCTGTTTTAGTGTTTGTTGGATATTTGCATATATTTTGTTTTTGAAATAATTTTCTCCATTTTTTTTTCTTTTTGAGACCCATGTATTTTACACTGATTTGTGAGATCCTTACCTATGAGGGAAGGCAACACTTTTAAGAAATATATGATTCCAGTTCTTTTTTTTTTTAAGATTTATTTATTTGAAAGGCAGAGTTACAGGGGCAGAAAGAGTCAAGAGAGAGGTCTTCAATCCACTGGTTCATTCCCCAAATGGCGTAATGGTGGGAGCTGAGCCAATCTGAGGCCAGGAGCCAGGAGCTTCTTCCAGGTCTCCCATGTGGGTGCAGGGGCCCAAGGACTTGGACCATCTTCTACTGCTCTCCCAGGCCATAGCAGAGAGCTGGATTGGAAGTGGAGCAGCCAGCACTGGAACTAGTGCCCATATGGGATGCTGGCATTGCAGGCTGTGGCTTTACCCACTAAGTCACAGTGTCAACCCCGTGTTTCCAGTTCTTTATTTCCAGTTTCAAGGCATAAAAAGTCTGACTTGCAGGGAATGAACAATAGAAATGCACCAGGTAACCAAACCCAATAGTGCAAATGTACCGTTATAATTTGCTGTTCTTTCTTACCCTTTTCCTGGGTCTGACTGGCTTTGGAGATGCTCTGATTTCACACTCTTTTTGTTTTTGTTGTTGTTTAAAAACATTATTTTTGAATGAAGATCTAGGTATATGTACAGTGGCCATATTTCTTGAACTTCAAACTGGATCACTTTGTCTGATAACTGGGGAGAACAGGACACTTTTTTTCTAGGGAATATCTGAAAAGGGCAGAAGGATGCCTGTCACATAGACTTTCCTTACTTCTGCAATATTAGTCACAAATAATGTCATTTGTTTCATCCTTTGTTGTCACCATGGCGTGGCAAGGTGTCACACGATGGGTGCTTGACATGTAAGTGATTGATAGGTAAGTTTTAAGAGACTTGGGAGCACAAGTCTATGCAATGAGGAGAGCATGCTGGCAGTAAGAAACCAGAGGTGAACACTGCCTGTTTTATGGCTTCTCTTCAGGAGACTTAAGTGGCAGGGCAGGCAGAGCTAATTCCTTAAGCAAATATATTGTGCAGCATTCACAAGGCACATTCACAGTCACCTAGTGCGGGCTAACACTTCTCAGGATCCTGTTAATAGCCATACTCAGTATGGTTAGGCGACTCTCTCCCGGAGCCTGTGACTTTAAAATGCTTGACACTGGCTGAACAATGACTGTGACTGCTGCCTCCAGTGAGTGTCTCCGGGTCCTTAAGTTTGGTTTTTCTTACAGTAATTTGATAGTTTCTGTGATTTCATTCCAAGAAGTGAAAAAAAAAAATCTCTCTTGTGCGGATACCTGGGTATCTCATTCTTAACTTGTCCCTGCTGCAAATACTTCACAGATCATCCGCTGTGAGGTTGCCGAGAGGGGAAATTCATGCCTCGCAGGCATTTCTCTCATCCCATTTGAAGACCATAATGAAATGGGCTGGTTTCAGAGCTGTAGTGGCTTGCACTTCTCCACAATTGAATTCCACCCTCTAATGAGTTCCCCTAAATCTGCCATCAGATGACTTTATTGACTTCCAGATTATAATTAACCAACACTCACTTTTTGCAGTTATTTCGACTGTTTTTCCTCTATTTTGTGTTTGAATACCTAGACTCAACATAAGTCATTGACTGCCAGATATTCAATGGGAAGTCACCAACAAGGCACGGATGCTGTCTCTCTTTGTCGCCTCTGGAAGAAATATTACAGGGTGGTGGTCGGGATGCGGAGCAGCCTGGAGTATTTTCCAGAACGACTTGATGTTTTAAAAGGTAAATAGGAGGAAAGCAGCCCTTCAATGGGTAATTGACACTGTTTGTGACGTTTTTATTACTTTTCAATTAGGGAAGGTGATAGAACATTGCGTTAGCAGAAAGTCTTGGCTTCATTAGAAGCATATGTTGGTTAATGTTGTAGATGAACAAGGTTAAATCAGTTGCCACCTTTTCCTTTTTACTTGTTGGCAGATGGAGATAAAATCTGTGATAAATGAGCAATTAGACACAGAACTCATTGTTTTTTTCTAGAGAAACGTGTTCTCTTTTGCTTTCCTCATCACTTAATTTTGATTTCCAGACTGTCCAGTGCAGTGCCCGAGTGCGTGACTGCTCATTACATACATACTGCATTTTACCCATGTGTTCATACCACACAGCCTTGCATGCCTTTTGTAAAGTGTTCTTTGGACTAGAAAGCAGATAGATTTAAGTGCTTCACAATTAAGAGTCAGGACCTTGCACCTAGGGGACAGAAACGTGTCAATTAATTAGTGAGGCAGTCTTTATTGAGCACAGCTATGAGTCCCATTTTCCTGACGGGAGATTTGTGGCCCAGAGGAAATTAAGATCAGTTCAACAGGAGGGCTAATTGCACAGATGTCACTGGAAGGCAATTAGTATCCTCTAAACCCAGGTTTCTGCTCTCCAGCCTTTATTTCCTCATAATTATAGCATTGCTTTAGTAATAGCTGCCCCACCTTGTATTGTTGTGTATTCTGGGGCAATTTAACTTCTCTGACCCTCAGTTTCCTAATTTGCATGGTAAGAGATGATGATACAGATTGAGTGAGTGTTCTTTACTCAAAATGCTTGGGACCAGAAGTGTTGAGATACTCAGAAGTTTTAGAATATTTGCATTTATAAAATGAGATATCTCAGGGAGGAGACCCAAATGTAAACATGAAATTCATCTCATGTATACCTTATATACATAGCCCACAGATAATTTTTTAACATTGAATTTCTAACTTTGTTTATTCCTTTATTTGAAAGACACAGAGAAAGAGGGAGAGAGAGATATATAGAGATCTAGAGATCTAGAGATCTTCTATCTGCTGGTGCACTCCCCAAGTGCCTGCAGCAGCCAAGGCTAGGATCCTGGAACTCAATCCAGTTTCACATGTGAGTGATAGGGACCTAACTACTTGAATTAGCAGGAAGGCAGAGCTGGAGCTTGGAGTAAAACCCAGAACTCTGGTATGAGATGTGGGCTTTGAAAGCAGCATCTTAACCTCTGCACTGAAACCAACCCTTGAAGGTAATTCCGTACAATATTTTTAGTGTACTTGCATTTTGACTATGATCTGTTATATGAGGCAAGGTGTGAAAATTTTCATTTGTGATCAGGGCTCAAAATGTTTTGGGTTTTAGAACATTTTGGATTTTGAAATCTTGGATTAGTGATACTCAACTTTTGCCTTCTTTGCAAGGTTTTCATGAAGGTTAAATGAAGTTTTATTGGTCAAATGGTTAGTATGATGCTTGCTGGATCAGAGTAATTAGTTGAGGAATGCAAGTAAGAAACAATAATAGATAATCAGAATTTCATGCTTGCAGATGAGAAACTTACTGGGTCTGGGGTCGCAGAAGTTTGTTTGTGCCAATGGTGACCGAGCCTGAGAAACCCACCCCCCCTTCCTGTACACTAGCAGAGTTTGTGCATGGTGAACTTTCAAGGAGGACAGAGTCCTGAAGTGGAGAGCCGTCATCCCTGCATGATGTCTGTGTCAGCTGGAAAGACTGACCTGGCCCCTGGTGCTCAGGGGCCGGTTATCTCAGACTGCCTCTCTCTAGGTGGCTCCCATTCTCAATTTGAAGCACACCGAGCTGGGACTCATGTTCATGTTCAAAGGAGCCTGGTAACTGATTGCAAGCGTCTTTCACAGTTTGTGGCTCCTTCTGACCAGCAGCTGAGGGCCTCAGGGAGATGATGGGGGCATGTCCTTGTGGAAGTGAGTTGTGGCTGGGGTGAGCAGAGTGGATATTTCAGCTTATCTTAGATGAAGAGGGTTGTAGACTGCTGGGCCCGGCATCTGTCAGCTCCTTGGCATGGCCACGCCTGGCCTGGTTCAGTGACTGAGAAAAGACAGTGGGGGGTTTGAATGTTTGCCTGTACTGGTTCCTTGAATGGAAAAACTGCTCACAGTTATCACTTAAATGATTATTATTTAAGTTATCCCATGACTGGAATTTGGGGAGCTGGAGTCTAGGTTCCAGAGCCAGGTTCCTAGAATCACCTTGCCTCCACCTACAGCCCCTGGAGGCTGGAAGAGGTGAGCAGACATCTGCCTAGGCTTGCTGAGAAGAGTTGCCATGGGCACTGCAGAAAGAGGCAACTCTTTCGGAATTAGAAAAGAATGGTGCAGTGAGGGCTTATTATGTAGAGAAATTTTGTGGTCTCTCAAGACAGTGTCCTGTAGGCAGTTCTCCAACAGAACAAAATCGCAAGTACTAATGCTTTGTTGTTTAGATTATTTCCAAAACCTCTTTTGAAAAGTGGGTCTGCAGTTATAACCCAAAGACTTCCGGTTGCTCCATTTAGAGAAGTTTGGGGTATAGAGTTTACCAGAGCAACCTTGCTGCTTTATAGACTTGGTCAAGTTCCAGTCTCTCATTTGAGCATGAGATCTTGGGAGGGGTACTTCACCTTTCAGAACCTTAGTGCACAAAATAGGGAAAATGATCCTTATTCCAGGGCTTTGTTAAATGCATAGAAATAGGTACTTGTACTTGACACTGGGCAGATGAACAGAGTCAGTGCTCTCAGTGTAAGGCAGCTATTGATGATGTTATTATTAACACTTTGTTAACTGATACAGTTGGAATAAAAAAAGGAAATTGGTAGAGCTTTGTAGTACAACAGGACCAGCAGTATTCTGGGCTTCATGTAGCTTCGTCTCACCCTCACCCCATCCTGCCTGATGGGTATCATTGAGCATTTTGTGCAGGGAGAAATTAGGTGGCTAATGTATTCTGTTAACTGGGAGAGCAACAGAGTCAAGATTTAGGCCCAGGATCATCTATTGTGACAGCTCATGTTTTCACTAAGGGTGCAGTGTCTATCTACTTCAAGTCACATAGACCTTAAATGCTTCATGGGTGGCTTATGCCATTAGGACACCTTCTGTGGGCTGCACAACTTCTTTTTTGGTTTAACTCCCCACCTTTGCTCATGTTGTTTTCTTGTACGTATTATTTTCTAAGTGAATTGAGCCATGACTTTTCTGATCTTTAAGGCTGGGCAAATGGGCCTTCATGAACTTCCAAATCACTTGCTGTACACACCTCCATCATCACACCTAACCCTCTGGCTTGTAATAGCTTGTGGATCTGCCTGCTCCCTTGACTGTCATCCTGAGAGTGCTATTCCCTGTACTCCAGTACCTATCATAGGGCCTGACCACAATGAAGGTCAATAAATGCTCATTAAATTAAACTAAACTTAACTCATAGATGTAGTTTCCAAACTCATGTTCCTCTATTTCTTTATCTATAAAAAAGAAGTGGAAAAACCTACTCAGAATGATTTTATGATTTTTTTTATTTTAAAGATGTTTTAATTATTTGAAAGAGTTAGAGAGAGAGGTAGAGACACAGAGAGAGGTCTTCTATCCACTTGTTCACTCCATATGGCTTCGACAGTCAGAGCTGCACTGATCTGAAGCCAGGAGCCAGGAGCTTTTTCTAGGTCTCCCATATGGGTACAGGGGCCCAAGGACTTGGGCCATCTTCTACTGCTTTCCCAGGCCATAGCAGAGAGCGGGATAGGAAGTGGAGCACCCAGGACACGAACTGGCGGCCACATGGGGTGCCGGCGCTTCAGGCCAGGGTATTAACCCACTGTGCCACAGCGCCGGCCCCTTATGATTTTTTTTTAATTTGAAAGACAGAGTGACAGAGAGAGCAAGAGCGAGAGGAGGAGGAAGAGGAGAGAGAGAGAGACAGAGACAGGTAAATCTTCTGCCCACTGGTTCACTCCCCAAATGCCTGCAACAGTTGGGGGTGGGTCAGGTCAAAGCCAAAGCCCAGAACTGTGTCCTGGTCTCCCACGTGGATGGCAGGGACCCAAGAACCTGCTGCTTTCCCAGACATATAAGCAGAAAGCTGGATGGGAAACAAAGTGCCCTGGATATGAACCAGTGCTCACATGAATATATTCAATATTTGCTTATTAAAAGCTGTGTTCCTAAATGCATATAAAGAAACAGGACACATCAACTGAGTGTAGACTTAAATATATTTAATTAAAAGTTAATATCCAGGCCGGCGCCACGGCTCACTAGGCTAATCCTCCACCTGCGGCACTGGTAGTCCGGGTTCTAGTCCCGGTTGGGGTGCTGGTTCTGTCCCAGTTGCTCCTCTTCCAGTCCAGCTCTCTGCTGTGGCCCGGGAAGTCAGTGGAGGATGGCCCAAGTGCTTGGGCCCTGCACCCACATGGGAGACCAGGAGGAAGCACCTGGCTCCTGGCTTCAGATCGGCGCAGTGCGCCGGCAGAAGCAGCCATTGGGGGGTGAACCAACAGAAGGAAGACCTTGCTCTCTGTCTCTCTCTTTCACTGTCTAACTCTGCCTGTCAAAAAAAAAAAAAAAAAAAAAAGTTAATATCCAGCCAACATTTAAAGTTTTGCATGTTTTGTGCTAAAAAAAGGAGTAAATTACATCCTTTGAAAAAACATTTCTGGTAAAGAAGCATGTAGACTAAAAGACAATAATTCCGTCTCCTCCACTCTCAGATCTGTTTCTAGAGATAACTGCCACTATTAATCTTGTTTTTTTTAGACCAATATTGGCCAACAGAAATTTCTGGGTTGATGGACGTGTTCTATGACTGTGCTGTGTAACACGGAGTATGTACTAGCCATTTGTCACTGTCAAACACTTGAAATGCAGCTAGTGTGACTGAAGACTGTAACTGCTAATAGAATTTAAAAATAAATAAAAAATTAATTTAATATTAATGACATTATTTGATATGTAAATAGCTATATGTGGCTGGTCATTGTCCTATTGGGCAGTAAAGGTCTATTTATACCTTTTTTTGGAAAGTGCACCCTTTTTGTTCAATGAAAAAAATGAAATTTTTAAAAACATAATTTACTTATATCAGTCAACAAAGCAAGCCTGGAGACTACTTTTACGAAGAACATGGTGGCTTTGCCCAATTGGGTTTGTGTGTGGTACTGAGTAGGGAATTTGCCGTTTTCTTCTAAGACCACAGAGGAATATGGTAAGAGAGATGTGCTCTAGCAGGGCTTCGAGGAGGCAGGCGGGCGGACCGGCGCTCAGCTGCGGTCCAGAGGTCCCGCTCTCCAGCCCGGCGGCGCCCTCGATCCGCTTCCGGGCCTGGGCACTTCCTGCGCCTGTGCGCATGCGCGCAACTGGCCCGCACGCCCGACGCCTGGAAGCTGCCCACGCCGTTCTCGCGCGACGACTGCAGCCGCTTCTACCTGGCCTCCTCTCTCCCGACTTGGCGTGGCCATCTCCTTCCGGGACAAGTGTCAGGTCGAAGGGAATTTGGTTGACACCCCCACAATTCTACGAAATAAGAAGACATGAAAACTTTGCCTCTCTGCCTGACTTGGAGATCTTTTGTTTGGCTCATGCATGAGAAGGAGTGGAGAAATGGCTGCCAGTCAAGATTATTGACGGCTGGTGGCATGGTCGAGCTTTTACAGGAGATGAACTATACTTGGAAAATTCAGAGTTTTCAAGAAAAACTTTTGTCTACTGGAAAAAATACAGAAGTCATAAAGGAATGCAGGAAATTTCACTGAATAGTGATATACAACCACCGTCTTTGTAATACCCATGTGACTTCAGCCGAGGTACAAACATGTTTATCCTAAGAGCCGCGTAGCAAGTAAGAACCATTTGTAGGGTGCCGATCGCTGGTTGGCCTGCTTGTAGTGCTAATGAATAAGAAGAGCTGATTAAACTTATTTGAAATGTAAGGAACTTGGGCACCTGTAAAAGTTACGATGTAGCGTTTCTCATCAAGCTCTCTTGCTTATTCTATCCTTTAAACCTTATAGTATACCACAAGTATATAGTTAATATAGTATTACTGATCTAGCTACCGAAACAAGAATTCCATGAGCGATTTCTCAGAAGTTTAAACAAGATGTTCTCCTGCTGGGCCACTGTAGTTGCAGTTTGGTTCCCAAGGTGCTTTGCAGGCTGTCCCATGCTTTTCTTACACTGTCCACTGGAATTAACTAAAGTGTGATTAGATGGTGAGCAGTAGACTGCAACAACCTCCAAATGGTAATGCCCTGTTTTCTTGCTGCATTTTGATTTGATGATTTACATACAGTTATTTATAAAAACCAGTAGCATCCATTCTTGTATTGGAAATCTTTTTTAGTAATATTTTAAAGAAATATAAAACCATAACAAAAGCCATCACTATTTTTATTCCAGAGTGGTAGTTCATGAATGCAAAGAGGTTAGAGAGATGTGGTGTTTAATTAATGAGTTTTATTTTTGGTGCGTTTAAGTATTTTTTCACCTCCTTTAGAGAGGAATGTTTACTGATTAAAGGTGGGAAATGATAATTCTTTTTGAAGATACTTGACTATATCATATAATTGATTTCATTTTTCATAAAGTGCATCCATTCCGTACCATAAAGACAACCAGACAACCCATAAATGTGTACAATACAGATACAAGGAAGATGTGCTCTATCAGGTGTGATGCTGGAAGTAGGATTCATAGTAGTTGGGTTGTAACCTTTCGTTTCCTTTTTTTTTTTTTAAACTCTCAGTACAAAAGCAATGCAGTCAGCAATGCAGAAGAATTTCCTTACTGTGAATGCTTTGAACTATAACTGGCATTCGTTAGAAAAATTGTAGAATTATTTTCTCTAATGCTTATTAAAAATAGCATAAAAGTCTAATAATCTAGGGTGTTTGGGTGTTAGTCTTGCTTATAGCTGAGGTTTGGATACATGGTACCAGCTTGATTCTGATAAATCCCTTTCTCCATTTATAAATCCTAGCAAGGTTTCTGGGGGGAAGTTGGTAAACAGCTATGTATTAAATTTTGGCTGTTCTTAAATTTTTGACTGTTATGTCGGCTATCTTGTTAGAGCAGGTGGAGAGGAAGGACCAGATAGGCATAGAAAACTGGCATACATGGTTCCACCCTTTAAGGAATGGGGTGAGCAATTGCATATTATATTTGTGCAGTGTTAAACACCACGTTTTTTAGCCCTGGGATTTGGGGCCTTGCCTTAACTGAATTGGCTCCCCCTGTTAGTCACATTTCATTGGTTGATTGCTCAGTTGCTTTACCATGGCTGTTCTAATAAGTCCCAGCCATGGCTTCAACACTCTTGTGGGCTCCTGAGTACAGACAGCAGCTCTAACCTGAACACAAAAGCGTGCATTTAGCAGAAGGAGATCTGAGTACAGATATGGCAGAGGTACAGAACTCAACACTTACCCAGCCTGCTAAATTCAACTATTCATTTGAATATAAAAGGATGACAGGGGCCATGATGTTGAACCCAAACTTGTCCCCCACCCCCCTACAAACCAATAAGTCAGAGCATGAATTAAACCTTGTCTTAGAAACAGTTTTATTTTGATTCCACATTTGAAATCATCTTGGCATCACCTTCACTTAATCACATTTGCAAAACACTGGAGTCTACATGAGAGGTGCTGCAGGGTTCATATGGGAAAGAGGAAGAGAAAGGTCAGAAGATTACTTTGCCACTCTGTGGATAAAAGATCTGTGTCCTCTGGATGACCTAATGAGGATCAAGTTCCTCTGCAGCCTTAATGTCCTTGTGGCCTCTGGGGCTGTGACCCTACAGAGCTGATAATTCATCTACAAAACTGGGCTCAGAGGCTGTGTCTGCTTGGGGCTTTGGTATCCAAAAATGGTTTTTGGACTTGTAGCATCAGAATTATCTGGCATATTTTTAGAAAAGCAGGGGCTAGGAATCCCTCCCCACCCCCCATTAGAATCTGCATTTCAACAAGACTACAGGTGGTTAGAAGGCTCACTAAAAGCTGAGAACACTATCTCAGCTGTCTAAGCTTTATCTCCTAAGGGAATCCTGATGCAGGAATCCTGATGCATGAATCCTGTTTGGCCTCCAAAGTCCTTGATTACAGAATGTATCTTGCAATCTTTCTTATCTAAACCAATTTTCCTTTCTGTGCACCTATAATGATGGGCATTTACAAAGAATTCCATTTCTCTGTGTTAAAGTTTTTTACCCAGAGATTCACTGAAATGCTGCTGGTGTTGCTCTGGGAGGCCAGGTGGCTGTATTTGACTCAAAGACTTGCTGTAAGTTGATTACCATCTATGGCTCTGAAAAATTAAGTAGAAACATCTGTTGTAAGGTCAAGATGAATTTAGTTGACGCTCAGGATAGATCCCTGAAATCTGCACCACACAGGGCCAGGGCCTCCTTGTTTAGGGCTGTCTTTAAGGAATGCCTCTGCCAAGCCTGCCATGGATATTAATCACATCCTGGTGGCTGGAGTTTGAAACATGAAGGAGAGAAGCTCAGAAAATGTGCAACAGTGTGGAGGGTTGCATAATTTTGTATATAGGGCACTACACAATGAGAAGATGTGGTCTCTGGATTCAAATTCTCTTTGTTGTTTTCATAGGAAAAATACATTTTACTGCAACTCTTAGTAATTTTTGTCATTACATGGAATTTGATGGATTGCACCCCTGCTTCTTGTTCATAAGAATCCACTTGCAATATCCAGATACCACCCTGAATCTACAGAGTTGAAATTTTGTAGATAAGTTAGACACTTGTATTTATCAGATGGAATCTTTTTTTATTAAGTTTTTTTTTATTTATTTATTTTTTATTGACAGGTAGAGTTACAGACAGAGAGAGAGACAGAGAGAAAGGTCTTCCTTCCATTGGTTCACTCCCCAAATGGCCACTATGACTGGTGCTACACCAATCCGAAGCCAGGAGCCAGGTGATTCCTCCTGGTCTCCCATGCGGGTGCAGAAGCCCAAGCACTTGGGCCATCCTCCACTGTCTTCCCGGGCCACAGCAGAGAGCTGGACTGGAAGAGGAGCAACCGGGACTAGAATCCGGCGCCCATATGGGTTGCAGGCGCCGCAGGCGGAGGATTAACCAAGTAAGCCATGGCACCGGGCCCATATCAGATGGAATCTTGGGGCACAGGCACAGCTCATGGTTTGGGACTGTCCTAGGATGTGTTATAGGAGTGCTATAAAATTCTGTTGTCGATAACTGCCAGTTGTCACTGTTGAAAGACCAGCTCTGATATGGGAGCCCGAGTTTTCTAACTTCTTAGGGTTCAGTGTTCCATTCCTCAACCAAAGTGCTTTTGCAGGAAATTGGCCCAACCTATGAAAAAAAGAGGTTGAGGTCGGAAATGTTTGCCTGGGAGCTCTGGAGAAAAACAAAACTCAAACCCCAAAACCAACAACCCTCATGTCGGCAAGGACGAAGCTAGCAAAGTAGCTGAGTTTGCTAGCACTGGTGCTGTAGCCCAGCGAGCACCACCCGAACCCGCACTTCCATGCAAAAGAAAACTACAGCTTCCAGGATTTCCTCACTTGGAACCTGTGCCTGCTTCATTCCTGCAATGACCTTTAGTTCATTATAATGTCATTGTAATAAAATTACCATAGCTGATACTTCCACTCCCATCATGGACCTGATGCCATGACATTTTTTTTTTAAACTTTTATTTAATGAATATAAATTTCCAAAGTACAGCTTATGGATTACAATGGCTTCCTCCCCATAATGTCCCTCCCACCCGCTACCCTCCCCTTTCCCACTCCCTCTCCCCTTCCATTCACATCAAGATTCATTTTCGATTCTCTTTATATACAGAAGATCAGTTTAGCATATATTAAGTAAAGATTTCAACAGTTTGTTCCCACACAGAAACATAAAGTGAAAAATACTGTTTGAGTACTAGTTATAGCATTAAATCTCAATGTACAGCACACTAAGGACAAAGATCCTACATGAGGAGTAAGTGCACAGTGACTCCTGTTGTTGACTTAACAAATTGACACTCTTGTTTATGGCCTCAGTAATCACCCTAGGCTCTTGTCACGAGCTGCCAAGGCCATGGAAGCCCCCTGAGTTCACCGACTCTGATCATATTTAGACAAGGCCATGGTCAAAGTGGAAGTTCTCTCCTCCCTTCAGAGAAAGGTACTTCCTTCTTTGATGACCCATTCTTACCACTGGGATCTCACTTGCGGAGATCTTTCATTTAGTTTTTTTTTTTTTTTTTTTCCCCAGAGTGTCTTGGCTTTCCATGCCTGAAATACTCTCATGGGCTTTTCAGCCGGATTCGCATGCCTTAAGGGCTGATTCTGAGGCCAGAGTGCTGTTTAGGACATCTGCCATTCTATGGGGCTGCTTTGTATCTCACTTCCCATGTTGGATCATTCTCTCCCTTTTTTATTCTATCAGCTAGTATTTGCAGACACTATTCTTGTTTATGTGATCCCTTTGGCTCTTAGTCCTATCATTATGATCAATTGTGAACAGAAATTGATCACTGGGACTAGTGAGATGGCATTGGTACATGCCACCTTGATGGGATTGAATTGGAATCCCCTGGTATGTTTCTAACTCTACCGTTTGAGGTAAGTCAGCTTGAGCATGTCGCGAATTGCACATCTCTTCCCTCTCTTATTCCCACTCTTCTATTTAACAGTGATCACTTTTCAGTTAAGTTTCAGCACTTAAGAAGAATTGTGTATTGATTACAGTATTCAACCGAAAGTATTAAGTAGAACAAACAAACAAAAAAATACTTAAGAGGGATAACATATTAAGTTGCTCATCAACAGTCAGGGTGAGGGCTGATCAAGTCACAGTTTCTCATAGGGTTCATTTCACTTTAACAGGTTTCCTTTTTGGTGCTCAGTTAGTTGTCACCTATCAGGGAGAACAAGTGGTATTTGTCCCTTTGGGTTTGGCTTATTTCACTCAGCATAATGTTTTCCAAATTCCTAACAGGGATCACTTTTCAGTTAAAATTTAAACACCTAAGAATAATTGTGTGTTAATTACAGAGTTCAACCAATGGTACTAGAACAAAAAAAAATACTAAAATGGATAAAGTATTACATTGTACATCAACAGTCAGGACAAGAGCTGATCAAGTCACTGTTTCTCATAGTGCCCATTTCACTTCAACAAGTTTCCCCTTTGGTACTCAGTTAGTTGTCACCGATCAGGGAGAACATATGATATTTGTCCCTTTGGGACTGGCTTAATTCACTCAGCATGATGTTTTCCAAATTCCTCCATCTTGTTGCAAATGACCGGGTTTCGTTGTTTTTGACTGCTGTATAGTATTTGATAGAGTACATGTCCCATAATTTCTTTATCCAGTCTACTTTTGATGGGCATTTGGGTTGGTTCCAGGTCTTAGCTATTGTGAATTGAGCTGCAATAAACATTAATGTGCAGACAGCTTGTTTGTTTCCAATTTCATTTCCTTTGGGTAAATTCCAAGGAGTGGGATGGCTGGGTTGAATGGTAGGGTCATCTTCAGGTTTCTGAGGAGTCTCCAGACTGACTTCCATAGTGGCTTAACCAATTTGCATTCCCACCAACAGTGGGTTAGTGTCCCCTTTTCCCCACATCCTCTCCAGCATCTATTGTTGGTAGATTTCTGAATGTGAGCCATTCTAACCGGGGTGAGGTGAAACCTCATTGTGGTTTTGATTTGCATTTCCCTGATTGCTAGTGATCTTGAACATTTTTTCATGTGTCTGTTGGCCATTTGGATTTCCTCTTTTGAAAAATGTCTATTGAGGTCCTTGGCCCATCTCTTAAGTGGGTTGTTTGTTTTGATGTTGTGGAGTTTCTTTGTAGATTCTGGTTATCAACCCTTTATCTGTTGCATAGTTTGCAAATATATTTTCCCATTCTGTTGGTTGCCTCTTCACTTTCCTGACTGTTTCTTTTGCAGTACAGAAACTTCTCAATTTGATGCAATCCCAAATGTTAATTTTGGCTTTGACTACCTCTGCTTCTGGGGTGTTTTCCAAGAAGTCATTGCCGGTACCTGTATCTTGCAGGGTTTTTCCAATGCTCTCTAATAATTTGATGGTGTCAGGTCATAGATTTAAGTCTTTAATCCATGTTGAGTGAATTTTTGTGTAAGGTGAAAGGTAGGGGTCTTGCTTCATGATTCTGCACGTGGAAATCCAATTTGCCCAGCACCATTTATTGAATAGACTGTCCTTACTCCAGGGATTGGTTTTGGATCCTTGATCAAATATGAGTTGGCTGTAGATGTTTGGATTGATTTCTGGTGTTTCAATTCTGTTCCATTGGTCTATCCATCTGTTTCTGTACCAGCACCACGCTGTTTTGATTACAACTGCCCTGTAGTATGTCCTGAAATCTGGTATTGTGATGCCTCCATCTTTGTTTTTGTTGTACAAGATTGCTTTAGCTATTCGAGGTCTCCTGTGTCTCCATATGAATTTCAGCATCATTTTTTCCAGATCTGAGAAGAAGGTCTTCGGTATCTTGATTGGTATTGCATTGAATCTATAAATTGCTTTTGGGAGAATGGACATTTTGATGATATTGATTCTTCCAATCCATGAGCATTTAAGATTTTTCCATTTCTTGGTATCCTCTTCTATTTCTTTCTTTAAGGTTTTGTAATTTTCATCATAGAGATCCTTAATGTCCTTGGTTAAATTTATTCCAAGGTATTTGATTGTTTTTGTGGCTATCGTGAATGGGATTGATCTTAGAAGTTCTTCCTCAGCCGTGTGATGCCATGACATTTCTAACATTTCCAAAAAAGGGGAAGAAAATGGATGGTACTCAAGCCCTACCCCAAACTCCTTCTTTGAATATTCAATTAAGCGCCACCCCAGATACCACCCATATAGATACTACAGATCATATAGAAATAGTCCTCAATCTGACTGAGTGCAGTTCTCTCTGCCTTCTCCCTTCTCCCCCTATCTTTTCCTCTCTCCTCTCCTTCCTTTTTTTTGCTCTTCCTCTCTTCTCACTCTTTTCTCCTCCCCCTCCCTGCCCCCTCCTCCTGTGGCCCACACACCTTCCTGTATACTTTTTGCTTTGCATGTAAATAAATCTAGCTTCTTTGCTGACTCTACCTACTTCTCATCTCTGAAGTCCTCCTTGCATTGGACACAAGAGCCTGGACCCATGCAGCCCACAGCTGACTGGACTTCAAGAAATATCCTCAGGATGAGCAGATGTTGTCAGCATTGATTTCTGGAGAAAGTGATAAAGGGAGAAGGTTGTTGGGATATTTTGGTTGTGAAGACTCTTGAATGCATTATTTTGCACAAGTATACAATTTCAGAAACTTTTTGATCACTTACTGTAGGCCTGGCCCCGTGCCTCAGCGAATGCTGCACAGATAATTGTGTAAAGTTCATTTGCATTGTTCATAGGGGTGAAAGTGACCATTCAGGAGTTAACTCCAGAAGTACAGGGTAAAGCACTTGGTGCTTGGGAAGCTGAATGAGCTGAGGTAACAACCGTAATCTTGCTGCCTGCTTGTCTGCTTTCATTTTGGATGACTTCAGTATTGATGGCTAGTTTTGGGCCAGCAGTAGTGCATGGAGGTTTCTTGTGTAAGTGGGGAGATGGGAGCTTCAGTCTCCTCCTTTCCATAATTACTGTACTGTTTAAATATGAAAATTTTACTTTATCCAACTTCTATAAATTTAGATGTAAACATTTTCAAACCTACCCTTCCAACCAGACTCCCTAAATATACTTTACATGAAAATTCTAGAATCGTCACAGTTTTGAGTTTGTTTCCTAAACCTGGTGTGTTTTTCTCTGTGGATTTATTGTTGGTAGCCACAGTCCTTGCTGAAGGATGCACCAGTTGATTCTTGCCTGCTTGGGCATCCATGTATTTGCCATTCCCAAGTTCCTGGTTGCTGGTCCTACCCCATGAGGACACCTCTTGTTACCCTCTGAAACTGACTATTGGCCTCTTGTCTTGCATTGCTCTCAGATTCTGAACTCTGCCTGCTGAGCTGGACTTTATCCAAGCATCAGCAGCTGGGTCAAGCTGCCTACCACCTGTCCCCCTCCAGGAGGGAAGGACTGGTTTTAAGGTCCTGGCCCTTC